CACCATCTCCAAAATTCTTTTTTTCTTTTTCTCGCGCTGTGAACGTAACATGCTTGCATCTCCTCATCGTTGAGAGGCGAACAGGAGCTCGTGTCCGCGCTCCCCGTTATGTATGCAAATAGTATGTATATTCATTTTATTGCATTCAGTTTATAATAATTCCTCTCTCTCTCTTTGCATCTCTCTCTCTCCCTCTTCTCTGCTTTTTACATCGTCACTTTCTCGAGTTTTCTCAACAAAAGCAATACGAATGCTGAAGAGGAACAAGAATAATATTCTTCTATTTATTGTTAGTTTGTTTTTCGATTATGAACATATCTGAGGTAAGATATTGAATTTAATTTTTAGAATAAGAACTTTTTTATGATATTCAAAAGAAATTTAATATCGAACATTTATTTTCTTCAATATACTTCTATTGTTGAAATCGATAGATTTTTATAAAAATCCATATTTGAAATTACTTATATCATTACTCAATCTATCTGTTAGTTTCAACTAACATATACGTAAAACTTCTTTGGAAAACGCTTTAAATGTATACCGATCGATTTTTTTTCTGTTTTTTTTTTTTTTTTTTTCTATAGTTGATATATGTTAATTTTAAACAATTATTTCTCGATGTATTATAATATCGAAAAATATAATTATTTGAAAATTTATGAATTTTTATGTTCGAAATTCATTGCTTGCTTCATGATAGGCAAACAGTACAAAAAAAAAAAAAGAGAAACATAAAATATTCAATACCATCTAAATATGATTACTTTTGAATTAGTTAGTCATAATATAAAAAAATCAAAAAATTGTTTTAAAATTATTAATTTGTGAAGTTCTGTTAGGTATAACTATATATATATAATTTTAACTCTGAGAAGAGATCATATTGTATAGAAAATACTACTAATTCTTCTTTTTTGTTTTGCATTTTTTATTAACGATAATTAATTGAAGTATACTTAAGTTATGTTAATTATTCAACGAACAAAATTATATTATGAGTAAATTCATTTCAAATGATAAATAAAATTGAATATGTCTAATTCAAGAAATATTTTTCTTTAGTATTATTTGTTTTTATGTTTATGTTATGATCGGAAGGAAATCTAAATGATTCGATCAAGAAAAAAAAAAACAAAACATGTTGAATGCAAGAAAAAAAGATCGTAGGAAGTACTTCACTGAATACTGTTCTAACAATTGTCTCAGGATCATGAGATATTCTGAAATCATCAAGATTTTGAGGAAGAAGTCACTCTCTGACCAAACTTTCCGTTCAGGACATTAGTACTTAGAGATTTTCGTCAGACACATGATCAGTATTTAATGGTTTATATTAAAAATTAATTAATTGAATAGCCAACAGCATGTGTATTGGAGTTTGGAAAAGTATTTTTGATATACTGATAACATTGTATCCATTCGAATATCAGTACTTTTTTTTGGGGATTATTTTGTATGGATTGAAATGTCAATCTAGAGATCAAAATAAGTATGTAGAAATTTTCTATTGTATCTTTTTGTTTGATATGAGAAAATCTTATTCTTTGTTGAACTATTAATATTTTTATATCGTACAAAAAATATTTCCTTTGAATATCATATAAAATAAAGAAAATTATCTTTCAGTTTGAATTAGAGGGGACTAACTTCTACGAACCTTCGAGCTCTGTCATTGTTATAAAATTAAATTTCTCAACATCTGTATTCAAAACTAAAATTTTGTTTAATTTTTTACATGACTATCATAATTTTATATTTTACATTTTAGAACGAGCGGCGTAACCAGAATTTTGACAGTGGTGGGACTCAGCTGCTGAAATTCTGCTCAATGGTGGGGCTTGAAATAGAATTTTTGGCTGGAGCAAGTTTCTTGGATGGTGGGGCTGAGCCTCACCTGGTTACGCCACTACATCTATAAAATGTTACAACTACATTATAATACTCGAATATATTGGCAATACATCGTCCTGTGCTGCCCTCTATTGTTTGTCATAATGGTGATGACAGTTCGAAGTGAGTAATTTGGCACGCCTCATAAACGATGAGATGTGCAAACGAATGACTAGTAAATGGGTCTCGTTCCATTAGTATTGACAACCACTTGCCACTTATTCTGATAGTGCATGTTCACTGATACACACGCATTTATTATTCAAATGGCGGAACAAGTCGTGCGTGTGTTAAACAAGAAAAAAAGTCATTGTGCCATCAATTGAAATTGATCTATTACTTTTGTATGAAAGCAGATGGAATATTTAGAAAGAAGAAGAAAAAAAAGTTTTTCTTTTTTGTTGGTTGATTAGTTGTCATCATAGACTAATGAAATTAGAAAATGTATTTATCATGTCAGATGGTAAAAATTAAAGAAACTTCTTGTATTACATTTGTCTATGCTTAGTTAAATATTATTCAAGAAAATATACAATCTTGTTTTCTTCTCTTATATATATATTATCAAGTAAATAAATCTCTCATATTACTTAACGTAAATACCATTGAAAAAAAAAAAACAAAATTCATCTAATATTATATTGATTATAAAAGAAGAAAAGTAAATTGAATTTTTTTTTCTAAAAGAAAGTTAATATCCTTTTCACACATATCTATCTAATTAAAAAAAAAAAAGACAACTAAGTTTGTTTCGATAAAGTCATTTATATATGTATGTCACGTCTTTATCTGTAAACTCCTCCCCTTTCCATCCGGTCTCTTGATTGGACTCATCTGCTCTTTTACAAAAAAAAAATGATTGATAGTCTTGTCTTGTTGTATATGTTGTTTTCTTTTTTTTTTTGTTCAATCAACACATGCTTCGATAATATTGTCGGCAGCTTATATATATATATATATATATATTCTTGACTTTACTCTTCGTCTTACTGTCATGATCAACTCAAGACGAAACGAAATCCGATCGATACTCATTGGTATGCAGCTTTTTTTTTCTTCTCTTTCAACATGAGCACATCGGCAAATAAGAAAATGAAAAGAACCAATCGAAATGCATACTCTATAACATAGTTTATTAAATTTCACTAAAAATAAAAAAAAATTTGTTATTATTTTATTCAAAAAAAAAAAAAAATGATATACATATGTATATATATAAGTTTTTTTTTTTCTCATATATATGTTGATGTCGACTATTCAATGTGTGTCTATAATTCGATTAGAGTTCGCTTCACTAAATTTAAACTTAGAAATGTCAACAAGATGTGCGAGCCATAAAGAGAAATAGTGTATATATCTAATAGAAATATGATCGATGCCGCTCGTTTGAAGACTAGAAAAAATAAAAATGATCAAACAATATATATGGATACGCCAAGTGTGTAGAATAACATTAACAAACTTGTGTAGAAAAAAGAAAGTTTTTGTTTTGCTTTTTTTTTTTTTTTGTCAATGGCATATTGTCATCAAGCAGGAAACGAAGATGATTTGCATATATGCAAAAGAAGATAGTAGATAACTGTGTGATCACGCACTTGTCTGTTTGTCTATCTGTCTCATTTTTTTGAATAATAGAAATAAGAATTTGACATTTGTTTGTTCATCATTGAATTAAAAATTCAAAAAAAGTGAAATTTTAAATTCGTAACAATAGTCTCTTGTGACTTGGCACGCGCACACATTTTGTGTATTGTTATGTTTCATTCATTGCTATTTGTTTAAAGGTGGGCAAGTGCCAAGTGTTGATTATTCGAGTGGATGTGCGTGATGCTTTTCTTTTCTTTTTTTTTTTTGTGTTTGTTTCAAGGTGTCTACAGAGAGACAGAAAAATCAAACAATAGAAAAGAAGCCACATTAAAGACAAGTTTTTGATTTAGAAAAAAAAAAAAAAATGATCCAGTTACAGGTATCTAGGTTAGACATTGGATAAAATAAAAACAAAATGTAGGTGTTGAAAGGTTATTTATTTGTCAAGGTGCAAGAGGATTAGTTTGAGCTCTTTTTTTTTTTTTTCGTTTCGATAAATAAGCGAAATCTAATATTATTAGACTTTTCTATACTATTCTTCTTAACTGTATCAAATGATGATGATGACAAGGAACAACTCGATTAGCTTAATTTCCCGTGTCTCTGATCCTGACTAACTAAGGCAAAAAGAAAAACTCTAGCTAATTCAATTTTATATATCCAGACTTGTCTAATTAGCAATGTTCGATCTCCAACTGATATAGCCATCTGCTATATGTTTGTATTTTACTATTATTTTTTCTTTTTTTTTTTTGTCTTTTCAATCGATCAATCGTTCGATAGTTGTGCGACACAGGAAATGTCTTGTGTACACACATACGATTAGATTCATCAATCACGCAATGGTAGTAACGACGAAAAGCAAGCAAAGAAGAATAAGAAAAAAAAAAAAAAATCCGATCATTCTATCCAATCAAAAAAAAATTCGAGTTCCTACTTCTTCAAACAACCAACCCGTTTTTTTCCTCTCTCTTCACTTGTTGTGTGTAATGCATATAAAGAGAAAAAAAGAATCTATCTTGTCATCGGGCACATACAAGAAAAAGGAGTGAAAGAGACAGAGAGAGAGAGAGGGCGAGAAGAAAAAAAGACTCCTTGACAGAAGAAGCATCGGACGGCGGCAAATCTGAATTTCATTTGCATTAAAAACTGATTATTATTATCCACGCGAAACAGCAGTGCTACTGACCCCCATATTGATATTCAAATAATACAACGATTCATAGTCGTGTTATATTCCTTTTTTCTTCTTCTTCTGCTTCTCAAGCACCGATTTCAGTTTATACTAATTGAAATCTGATTATTAATTCGATTGATAGAAAAAAAAAAAAAAAGAAAGGAAAAGAATAATGGTAAGTAATCAACATATCAAGAAAAAAACAACAAACTGAAAAATCTATCATCCATAAAAAAAAAAGAAATTATTACAACATAATTAAAAGAGAAACATGTTATTTATTATAATGTTTTTTTTTTCTTTGTTTAATAGTTTTTATCTTATTAATATTTTCAATTAAATCATGTCAACATCACCACCATCATCAGCATCAGTTGCAGCAGCTTATGCACTTCATCATCATCATATTCATACACATCATCATATTCATCCATTTCATCATCAACATCATCTTGAAACATCTAATACATTTTTTTATCCACCAACATCATCAGATTCATCATCAAATAATACAAATGATTTAATATTACAACAAACAGATATTAAACCAACAAATACATATTTATTTTCAAATACAAAAAGTATATCACCATCACCAACAAGTCCAACAAATAATATATCATCAACAGCATGGCCTGTTATTATGCAACATCATCCACATAAACAACATGCATTAACAATTGAAGATTATTGGACATCAAATCCATCAAATTATTATCAACCATCAACATATCATCATCATCCAAATTATATGACAAATCATCAATTTCTTCCAACAACACCTAATGATCATGAACATCATTTTCATTTAAATCAACAAGCAACATCATCATCAAATCAAGGTAATATTATTGATGATAATGATTTAAATCTTTTACAATCTCGAACAAATATTAATGATGATGATGAACATCAAATACATATTGATAATAATGATTTAAATCGTTTTTCAAAACAATTTAAACAACGTCGTATTAAACTTGGTTATACACAAGCTGATGTTGGTCTTGCACTTGGAAATCTTTATGGTAATGTATTTAGTCAAACAACAATATGTCGTTTTGAAGCATTACAATTAAGTTTTAAAAATATGTGTAAATTACGTCCATTATTAGCTAAATGGTTAGAAGATTCTGAATCACAAACAGGTACAACAAATTCAATGGAAAAAATTGCAGCTAGTGGACGTAAACGTAAAAAACGTACATCAATTGAAGTTAGTATTAAACAAGCACTTGAATTACAATTTGTTCGAAATCCCAAACCAACAGCACAAGATATAACACAATTAGCTGATCAATTACAACTTGAAAAAGAAGTTGTTCGTGTATGGTTTTGTAATCGACGACAAAAAGAAAAACGTGTTACACCACCATTAGTTAATGGTACAGCATCAGCATCGAATAATAATAATAATCATCATCATCATCATAATACAAAAAGTCCAAGTACATCACCAACACCTACTGGTACTGGAGAAGAATATTATGAATATCATTATCCAACACATTTGTAAACAATTCATTTTTTTTTCTTTTCTTTTCGAGTTTTTTTTTCACTTGTTACACACTTTACACAGTGTTTCTTTTTTTTTTTTTTTTTTCTTTTTTCTCTCTCTATATTTTGTGTGATACTGTCAACAAAATAAAAATATAAAATAAATAATCTATGAATTTCTAAGACTCACGTCAATTATATTGATAGACAAGTGACACGAAAAAAAAAAGAAAGTCAACAGATCATTAGAAAAAAAAAGAAAGGAAGTATTCAATGATTGTCGCTTCTCTGATCTGATGATAGAGAATAGGATTTACTGTGAGTACAGTTAATCAAAAGGGAGACCAGATGGTTGGATCAACTGCATATACTTTTTTTTTCTCTTGTGAATGTTGTCTTTACGATGAGTCTATAATGAAAATGTTACTTCTTCATGCACAATGTCCCTATGGTGTATAATGTTGAGGCAAGCGCATCCATATTATATTTGCATCTCAATCACTGTGTCACTTTTGTACTTCTATCGACATATGTTGATGATCTTGTATGTGTATAAATTGACATTTATATGTGATTTTCTTCTGTTATTCACGATCAGGTGAGAGAGAGAGAGAGAGTATCATCGCTTTTTTTCAGTGTCAAATATATATATATATATTTATTCCAATTGAAATATAACCGACGACACACTCGTTTAAGCACACACGTACACTCTCTCTTTGAATTAAAGTCTGTTCCGGTTCCGATGTCTTATTTTTTTATAGAAGTTACGTCTATCAATATAATGCTTCGTCTTCTTCTTCTTTTAAAAATGTTGAACAATTGCCGACAATATTATTATTTTTTATTTTTTGTAAGAAGGAAATAGATAGCAAGAGAATGTGTGAGAAAGATCAAGAGTGATATTGTGTTAAATTATACAAAATAAAAAGGATATGATTTCAAACTTATGCCGAATGGATTATTTTGATATAAGTGGCACATAGTCTTGAAATTTTGTTATTCGTTAGTATATAGAATATTTATTTCAATTCTTTATCATAAGATTCTGTTGTAAGTTTGATTTAGTTTTTCAAGTGTTCTAGTATTCCAATGTTGAATATTATATATTCTTAATATTTATTGAGTGGTTTTGAAATACATAAAAATTTATGCAAAATATGTAGTGCTTTGCAAACAAATTTATACTTTTTTTTAAGATGCTTCTACCGATGATTTTCGCAATTTTCAGATTAAATGAATGTATGAGCCAATTTCAAGAACTCACGAATAAGACTTCTATATTTTTTTTGTTATGGAGATTATCACCAGATAGCTTAGTCAAATCTTAATAGAAACCGAAACTCTTTGAGGGTTTTGTATTAGAACACTATTTAGTAGTTATAAGCAAAACAATCTCTGAAATCAAAAGGGAACAGACGAAAAAAGTTTCTTCGCCAGTTAAAATATTCTAGAAAAGAAATAATACAATGTGATATTGTTGATGTAGCTTTTTTGAGTTGAAAAAGAAGACGTACATCGGTCTGCGAGAAATGATAAAAATCTAATTAAATATCAGTCGATTGTACCGAATATCATGATGTTGAATTGATGTATAGCAGTCAGTAGACAAATCTGAGCTCAGTGAAGATCAATATCATCTGCATTGAAATAGAGATTATCTAAAAATTTCAAAGATCATGAAGAAGAGGATTTTCACTTTAGTTTATTGTTTCTATTACGTTTATAGATCTTTCTTTAGAAAATTTCTAAATAGAAATCAATATTTAATTGTTTTATAAGATTTTGAAAATTCGAACTTAATTAATATATTATTTATATTCATAATCGAGTTTACTTCATTTTGTTAAATATTGAGTATAGTATAACAATAGTTGATGATATTGATTAAGAAGAACAATAAGTAGTTGCAATATTGATTGTCGTGATTCAGTTGCATATTTTATTGCTAATTTAAAAAATATTGAATTTCTTAATTGACATATATAAAATGCACGATCTTCTCGATAAAGTTTATATGATAATTTTAAAAAGAAATTTGATTTTTCAGTTGTTGTTTTTTTTGCTTCTCAATTTATATCATGCATTTGAATTGAATATTATCATTCACTATATCATATAATATTGTTTATAAGAATTTTATTCTCATTATTTTAAATTAAACGAAATAAGATTTGTAAAGAATTACATTCTATATGTTCTAACAGAAAATTTTGTTTAGTATTTCTCCATTCTACTATTTATGAAAGTAAAGTAGATAATTAATGCCTGATTGGTTATATGCCAGATCAAAGAGTATGGACCAATTTCGGAAGGAAATGATGATAACTAGCTGAGTTATAAATCAATTGCTACAAGTTCAAATATTTTACGGTAGAGAAACTTGTTTAGTTTCTACACGCTTCTGTTTATTTACTAATACAACATCTTCAGAAAAAAGAAACCGTTGATCTCTTGGTAAAATAGAGTAAGAGTTTTTGTTCATGATTGCTATCTGGTTTTTATTGCTTTCTCTTGATTATTTACTTATTAAAAAAGCAGGAAACATAGTCTAAAGATAGAGAGTTAAAATGATACATGATATAAACATTATGTATACAGAAAAGAAGCAAGCGAAAAAAAAAATAAACATGGATAAATTTAGTTAATTATTTCTTCATCATATACACGAGTTTCTTTGTACGGAGAAGCATCAGCAACACAAGCAACCATAGCAGCACCTTTACCACTCCCATCATCAGATAAAGTTAATGTAAATTGAAAATCTTTATTAACCAATGTTTCTATACAATCTTCCATATTATCTTTAAAATGTGGATGATATCGATAAAGTGATCCATCAATACCAATAGTAATATGAGATTTTCCAATTCGATTAATCAATAGAGCTAAACCAGCAGCAGCTAATCTAGCAGCTCGTTTTGAAACTTGTCGACATATATATTGAACAATAGCACAATCATCATATGTAGGATTTTCTATACCAATATTTTCAAGTACTCGACGTGTATTTGAAAATTGAATACCTTCATCTGTTTCAACTGTTGAAACAAATTTTGTATGAAAACCTCCATAATTATAAAGTGGTGTTGCATAATCTCTATATGTATCACGATGACCAAGAAAAATTAATTCCTGTTGAATTAAATCAAGTATTATTAAACGAACAATTTCACCCATATACATTCCTGAAATCATTTTTTCAAAAATGTGTTTGCCAGGATTAATTGATGAAATATCAACTTCTTCATCATATTTTGTTCGGATAAAATTTAAACAACCATTATCACCAAAAGCACCCCATTCTGTATTAATAATAACTTGTTTTGGTTCATTATAATTACCATTCCATGTACCAACTTTATCTAAATTTTCAATATAACATGCATTTGTTCCAGTTCCTAATATGAGACCAATGGCTGTTGATGGATCTTTATAAGCACAAGACATTAATGTTCCAACTGTATCATTTACGAGAGCTACACATTTTGCATTTATATGTTTTTCATTAATAGCATCTTGTAGAAGTTTTACAACATCTTCATTAACAACACCAGAACAATTAAAACCTTTTGTCCATGTTGTTAATCGTGCTGATGCAAGACCTTCTTGTTGACAAGGAAATGAAAATGTAAAACCTAATGGATAACATATTCCAGTATTTAATAAATGTTCTTTTTCCATAAATTCATGTAAACATTCAGCTAAATGGTGAAATAAATATTTTCCATCACCAATCATAATTGATTGTGGAATAATAAAAATTTTAGACGTTAAATCTATTGTTGAATCTCCATGTAAATCAATTAGAAGTACACGAAAATTTGTTCCACCTAAATCAAGTGCAAGTACTTGACCAGTTTCTCTTCCATTTGGAATATTTTGTACATATGATGGAAACATTTTTACTGTTGCATGTTGATGTGTTGATAGTGAAAGACCAGTATTCATTTCTTCTTCTAACATCTGCATTATATCTATGAGTTGATCATCGCTTATTTTTAATGAATCTACAACTTTCTTGATTTGTTCATTCAATTCTGGATTTAAATGTTTTCTAGTTTGGTGCTTTTCTGGTGCACCTACACGATATCCAGCATAAGCAGCAGCTCCAAGAATACATGTTGTTGCCAGTCCATATGCAGCTTTCGACATCATAGATGGAATTAAATCATCTTGGAATATTTGAAGAAAATTGAATGACATGGTTTCTGGATTGATTGAAAGAATAAAATAAAATTCTTTTTTTTTATTGAGATATACAAGTCTGTGTAGTTATTTTAATGATGAAAAGAAATAAACGAATGAAATATATACTGCAACTCCGGATGGGATGATACCCACTATTTGTCGCATGAAATACTTTTTCTTCCCATTACATTACACCCGGAAACCCTAATATATACTGTTTATATTTTTATCGAACCAGAGACGAAAATAAATGAATCAAAGAAGGCAACTTCCTTGCTGATGAAATCCTGAGAAATGATCCAATGATTCATCTCGTCATAGCAAATCGAATAGAATAACGAAAGAGGACGGGTGTGTTTCAACGTAGAGACTGTCTGTGCCATCATGACATGGTTTTTTTTCTAGCATTGATATATGAAAAAAACCGCATACGAAACAGAAAAGAAAGAAAAAAAAAAAGTAATCATGGAAAAAAAAATTTTTGTTTCTCTTTAGGTTATTCATTTTAAGAAAAAAGAGAATCATATTTATACTACATTACCAAATTTCTTTTTAGATTGTAATATTAAGACTTTTTCTAGTTTTTTTTTGCTAACGAACATTTGTTGTGATGACTCACAGTTACAGAAGTTTATAACAGATCGAACAATAGCAATTGTTAAAATACCTATTATTTTGTCCCATATTTAATGGAATAACTCGGCAAATTTTCCCATTCTTTTGAAGTATGAAAAAATCTCAATTCAATTTGATTCGATTCGCACTGCAAAAATATTTACTTAGATTTTCGTGTATGTTTATGATAAATCTATCATTTTAGAGAAATTCAAAAATTCTAAAGTGCTATTAGAACGAATCCTTTTCATCCGAATCTCAATAATCGAAATATAAACTGTTTATAAAAGGATTAAAGATGATGAATGATTTCGATGTTTCAAGTCAGAAATGTTTGACTATACAATCAGTCACAATCGATATATCAGAACAACTGTGTGAAAAGATTTTGAAGTATTCGAATGATTCGTTCGAGTTTTCGAGGTTCACCGCATGATTGATTCATGACATAAATCGATATTTGTTCGATCTCGATGAACATTCATCTTAAGAGAAATTTTTGTTCGAATTTATCGATAGTATTTCATTCTTTAATATTACGATTTTGACGACAAAATCCGAAAGATTTCTCTTCGCACTATTGTCATGTTTGATTCCAAATAAAATTTCTCTGGAAATAATATGATATCATTTTTACATTGAAGAATATCATGTTTAATACAATGACAAATCGATTCTATTCGCGAAAAGATTTCTTTCACTTTATAGTTCATCGTCTCGTCAGTAGTCTATTTGAATCACATGAGAACAACTTTCTTGATGAGATGCTGTTGAAATACTGAAGTTTATTCAGTTGTGAAATCGCTTAATCAATGAAGAATTCATTTTTTTTTTCTTATCATCAATTGTTTCGAATGATATGATATTGCAACGAATATTCATCTAGACAATATTCTAAATTAAAATTTTCAATCGTCAAAGTTAAGAAAATTTCCCAAGATTGAATTGAAAATGAATTGGATAACTCACATCTCAGCTTGAATTTGAAATAAGATGTACAGAATAATCAATTTTCATTCTATTATTCTTTCACAATTAATACCAACACCCACAATCTGATTGTATGATGAAGAAATGCGCGGATTGCTTGTTCACATCAAGTGAAAAAAAGATATATTTTTATTTAAAAAAAAACAATGGAAAATGTTTTAGTTATATCAGTTTGATTTTTCCGAACGAGATGATATGAAGGATGTCGGCTGAGAAGAATAAATATTCATCGCAATTCCATAAGCTTCACTCTGCATTGCTATTGGTATACCACAATGATCATATTCTATTGAATAAAAACTAGTTGGACCGTAAGACATATGATAGTCCTAAGAGAGCAAATAGTAAATAATTGAGTGAATTTATAGTATAGTATAATCCACAAGTTTTTATTTAGCAAAAAATACAATCAAAATTGAACCTTACATTTCTCGCTTTTAAAAACTTACTCCAGATGGAAACATAGCTGTACCATATCCAGCATACTGTGTATGAGTTAGAATCAAATGAGTCATGTATTTTTCATATGTCTAAACGAGAATAGATTATTTAAATATGAATAATCAAAACAAAAATTTTGTTTTTATATTACTTCACTAGTAATTTCTGTTATCGTTTTGTAAGTATTATTGTATGATACTTCATCATCATTACTACAATGTAAATGTTTTCGATTTGAACTATTTTTGCGTCCATGATCTGAATGTGATGATCCTAACGAGAGATTTTAAATGTTGAAATTCACATAGAAATTAATTGAAAGAGATAAGTTCGGTTATTCTATTCAAGATTAAATTAAAATTTTTAGAATAACATCAAGAACTGATGAATAGGAATTCCTACGACATTTTCTCATAGTTAGATTATCTCTAAAATTAAACTACGCTTTGTTGTACCTGCATCTACAACCATAAAAATCAATCATAACTTCGTAAAAGGCTAAAGTAGAAATGTATTTGCGAACTTTTTGAACAGAACATATTGAAATATGACTGAATTTCAAGTCTCATTAAGTGGTAAAACAGAATTCAACATTTGTTTTTTTTTTCTATTCTAATATAAAATGACTAGAAAATAAAACATACTTGATCGTCGTCGTTTTTGCCGTAAATCTTGATTTTCACGTTCTCGACTTCTTGATTTTTGATGTCTAAATTAAGGTAAACAAAAAATGACAACTAAATCTCTTTTGATTATATTCATTATAATTTATTTTGTATACATGTATATAAGAAAACTTATTTCCTTTTCAATATCCATCATCTATGTAATACTCAAGGTAAAAAATGAATCGATTTAGTTAACAAAATGGTTTGGGAGGAAGCGATAGTGTTTGTTCTTATTTTTTTCTTACAAAAAATAGCAAAATATATATCAGGTGAATTCTAATGATGACAACAGTTAGTATTTTTCAAGTATCTTAGCATAGATATATTGTATAATCTTTATTTCTATTTTTAAAGGATACACTATCAAATTCTTCATAAGAATAAAAATGAGAAATCCTATTGAGTTAGTTCGATGATCTTTTTTATAAGACTAAAACTTATGCACTGTATGATAATGAAATGTCCTAACGTTCGAAGAGAAACAAATATGAACATCAGATCGGTTATTTGACGATTAAAACTTATGTTTGCAACGTTATCAAATCTTTTCTCTAAGAAGTTCGGTTGTTGTTGATAACATAACACCTATCATCGTTTTCATGAACTTCATGTTATTTCAGTTTAATTGTTTTTTTTTACAAAACAAATGATAAAATCATTAAAACTTTTAATTGAAACAAGTAGAAGACTTTTTGATTATCAAAAATCATTACGCTAACTCAGTAGGATTTCTCATTTTCATTCTTCTGGAGAATTTTACAGCACATCGTTTAAAAACAGGAATTAAGATTATACAATATATCTATGCTGAAATACTTGAAAAATAATAACCGTAGCAATTATTTTGCCTTACCCGGTACATATGTATATATATCTATACAATAGCCTGCTAAACAAACAGTTCTTTTTATAATAGTCATAAGAGTTCTTCGATGAATACGTGTGTAAAATGTCTTGCTTTCATATTTATTTATTTCAAAGTTCACAAAATAAAGCCAGCTTCATATTGTATATACACATCGTAATATTTGCATGTTATATATATATATGATCAATGATGTTTGGAAAAACGAAAGATACCTCTATCAGCCAACACCCTTGTTAAAAGTTCTGTACTGAATAAGATTAGTAGAGTATATGATAGTCCAATATGTAAGACGAATAATTATTAAATAAAGAGTGATGGTTGACCTATGACGATTATGATTTGAAGGTGATCGATGACGATAACGATTCGATGAATGACGAGATGAAAAATCTGATGACATTGGTCGATGTCTATGATTTGGTAATGAACGATGATTACGATCTTTTAATGTTTGCCCTTTAATTATTAATAATGATGCCGGCGAGGTTTCCAATGGTGATGATGAAGAAACATTTATCGGAAATGGTAAGTGTGACTGAGATCGAGATGAATTATGTTTTTTGTTGTTTTTAACTTCTGTTGTTACTGATATTATGTCGATTGTTGGATCTGATGGAAATAAACGACATAAAGCTTCAGCACAACGTGGTTCAATTTCCTTGAAATATAACAACTGTCATATAAAAACAAATCTTCGTATATGTAATTCTACTACCTGACCATCACGTCCTATGCTAACCGGCTTGTTCTCATTTCATGAATTTAACAAATGTAATGTTTTACAAAATGGTAAACTTTGACTAAAAATAAAATATTCATTGAATGAAATGGTAAATAGATTAGATATTTTCAAATAAAAAATGACAGATAAATACATACCAAGTCTCCCAACGAATATAAATATCATCTGAAAAATTACGATTACTTTTGCCGGGTGGTAAAATCAAATCTATAGGTTGACTATCATGACGAGCTTCACATGATATAAAAGCAAAACCTTGAAAAGCTTTACTGCTGTTTACGGAAAAAATTAAAATGACATATTGATGATCCTAAATATGTGAAATATATGTGTTTTTTTTTCTTTTTTCTTGAAAAATATTTACTCGAAAAGCTTGGTTTAATTTATCTTCATTATGTGGTGGTGTTGACCATACACCCTTAAAAATCAAAATAGTATCAAATATGCATAAAAGTAACTTTACTTTAGCTTTAGCCAATAAAATGTTTTCTTCATTCCAACTTTTCATTAAAAAATAAGCCACATCGCTGAATATACGTCGAGGTGTAGCAGTTTTTGTGGAATCTAAGATAATTATAAATGAGTTCCTGTTGCCAATTATCGGACGTGTATCAGAAGTTAATAGAAACTCGTCTCACTTTCACACTATGGCTACTAAATCTAGAAGTTAGTCATAAATTTTTAACAAATTTCACTGAACCTATTATATCATTCAATTTATCATGAAGAATTCTATCAACAATCTGAGAGAATTAGTGCGCTTGTTATTGGAGTGTGGGTAACAGATATGGATGAAAAGAAGACTTACACGTTCACCAACCCATCCTCAATGTATAATTGCAGACAAGGTTTATTCTGGTTACAGGCTAAGTAAAGCCATCGACACATTAGAAGACCCGGGATCTTCTATTCTATCTATCGTTCATAAGTTAAAAGGGGGGTCTTCTAGTGCGTCCCTAAAAAAGATCATATTTTTTGGCAGTCCCACCAACAAATCCTAGTTTCACTTGATTTTTGTCACATATATCGTCAGTAAATGAGTTTGCTTTACTTACTGCATGTGTGTAGAATATAAAAGAGACAGATACTATCCTGTGAAATAGGGAAGACCATTGTTAGTAAGAAGTGTTTTTAGAACTATACTCAAGGCTAAGATCTATCACTGGCAACATTTTATCTTTGCAATAACTAAATAAATAAAAAAAAAAAATTAATTTTTTTATTATCAAACTCATTTAATTCAGTTGCTTATGTGGAGATTTGATGAGCATAGATGTAACTCGTTCACAGTGAATTCTGCTAGTAGCATAGTTAGTAGTCTCAAACTAACTTCAATGAATAAGGTTATCTTGTGAAGAATCCATTTATAGAAAATCAGCAGTTGAATACATACTCTGTATTTTCTTTTGTATCTATTTCGAAAAATGCCTTTGGATCTTATTGAGAAAAAAATGGGTTCTCGAACTCAAAAGAAGTTCTCACATATAAAACTACGACGTATATACATGAAGTTGTTTTCTTCAATTATGAAAGACTGTTTTATGGCACAAACGTTTCTGATTTTCTAGAAGAAAGTCAAAGATGAAGAGATCTTTTAATTAATACACAGCAGCATTTTACTTAATCTGTTGTTATTGTACAAAGATCTCTTCATGTGTTACACGCGCGAATATGCACTGTATTCATTAGATCCTATGACCATGGAATAGTGTTTTTCGTGTATAGAACCTGTAGAATGTTTTCAGAGTAAGCTGCAAAGAAGTACTAAAATGACTCCACGAAATGTTTTTAACAAAGAAACCCAATCTTTAATAGACAGATGTTTCCTATTAGCTGCTTCTCAACATTTGACTCGCTCGGATTTGACACTTCATTGATATGGACAGAAGCAAAATATTGTTCGTACTGAATTTAGACATAATTATGGACTTGAATACTAAAAAAGTCAATAAACCCAAGAAACTATTTCAAAATATCGGTTTTTTGAGGGGATCTTCTAATGTGTCGAGGGCTTTAATTTTCCAATGAAGTTCGTGTAGTGATGATCACTAAAAAACGCTGAAATCAAAATGCAACTGACAGTTTTGACTAGAAAGATAACGAGAAAGCTACTGCAAACTTATGTACCTATGATATGATATCCCGAACTTACCTGAAGCTTGAGTGAAATTGGAGACGATATTTCCATGTGGCGTTTGTTCAACAATCGACATTTTCTGAGCCTGTTGAAGTTTTGGTGCTGCTGATTTGTTTCTGACTAATACGGATATATTTAGAGAAAGACTTGCAAATTTGGGTGGCGTTGACGACGGATTATGTCCATCAAAAAGTGATGGTGACGGTGCTGCTGCTGCTAATTGTCCAAATGGCACCATCAACAACGAATTCGAAACCAATCATAGAACCTATAGTTCGACGTAGTCATTTTGCCCTAACAACCTTATTTTGCATTTTCTTCAAGTCAACGGGTCAACGTGGGCTATTTGCTAAAAAAAAATAAGCTGTCGCGCCGAATCATGAGAGGTATATGAATACTGAAGATTTTACAAGTGTTAACGTATCATACAAAGATAATGGGAACGTTAGGTACTAATATATTCTGATCGCAATGGAAATTCGAATATTTTTTGCTTTCAACTCGAAATCCAATTGGATATATCATTACAAGAAGTTTATGATTATTCATCACTGATATAGATTCTTTATCTTTACTATGTTCATCTGTTACAGTGATAAAAGACAATATGCATTATTCTATATTTCGTTTTTATTTCAAAACAATATTTACAGCCAAATATCAAGCGAATGTGGCTTATGTCTATACTCTAATGAAGCAATCAAATCTGGCCGTAGGAATAACGATCTGATGTACCATTCTGGAGCTAATTTCGATAAACTATACATACTATCTTGAGATATTGCAGCATGTTCATAATTTAAAGTGAAATGAATAAGTGCTGAAAAATGATCTAAGATCTTTCCAATTTGATCGACTAAATGATCAATAATAAGCCATGAACTTGAATGTTCATCAACATTTAATGTGAATTGTTTCAATATGAGTGATAACAATGATGAATAAGTAAAAAGCGTATCAACAATTTCAACAAGCTCGCCAAATGAACAATTCGAATTTTTTGCAGTAAAATAAAGTATTTCGAGTTGAGACATAAGTAAAATACAAAGTTGAGCAGTTCATGAAAGAATACGACCTATATCTAGATTTGCATCTATATGAAGTTTCACGAAAATGTGGTGAACGTTGAGCAATATGAAGTAAATGTGAAATATTTTCACCAAGCATATTACTATATTATAACGAAAATATATTTAATAAATCTTTATTTTATGTGATCATGTTAACTTACGTGTCGTCTGGATAATCATCTTTAACGATTATTTTTCTTAGACAATGCCAACAAGGAACTGTTTGAATATCTTTGAGTAGTTCCTATTCGACATAATCCATGTCAATAATTTCCATCTGAAGGTCGAAACAAATATTCTTTTTTTTTGTAAGTCAATTCTTTTTGTTTTTATCTTACCTCTACAACATATTCGTTGACTGGTTCATCTTAAATAGCTTCGAGGCTAGGATTTTTGTTGTTGCTATATTTATTATTTGGTGTTGAATAGTTAAGATTAATACTTCTATAATAGGTTGATGAATCATTACCCATGGCTTGGTATATATTCGATAATCACAATCTTTTGAATTTCTTATGCACCACGTACGGAAATCTACAGACAACTTCAGTTGAAATGTAAATTCGTTTTCTTTATTCAATGTCAGCCATTGTTTTAATGCAGATACTCGTGGAAAACTACTATTCAGAGTAAATCTTGTATGTTCAGATATCTTGAACTGTTCGAGTTGGCTGTGACGTTGAAGATCTTAAAAATAAGCTAGAACTCAAGAAAGGCCAACCATTATTTTAATACTAATGTGACGTAGTTTGGGTACTGAAGTTGATTTTAATGGTGTTGAACATGGTGGTTCGATTACTACACCTTCGTGTGTACTAAAAAATAATGAAAATATATATTTGTTTAGAATATTTGTCACTTACCACTGAAGAGAAGCACGCAAAGGACACAGTTGAAACAAATGACCGTCGTTCAGCATCAGGACAAACAACCCCCTTGAATATTCATTAATCGTAAATGTATGCAAGTTTTGATGAATAACCATAGAAGGACAGTATCGGTTGAAATTGAAAGAATAGTTGTTGTTCGTATGAGTGTTCATACGTAAGTAGAGCGAGCGTAATTCAGGTAGACCCTCAAACACTGGAATAATTACATTGAAATCGAAGATGTTGTATTCAAAATGATGATATCGACCAAAACCTATATAGATCGAGAGTAAATGAGCAGTAGATAAAAGCGAATTATCATCTAATAACAATTCAAGTGCATGACATGGAATATCTTCGATGGTAACTGCTTTCAGTGCAGGCCAATTGTGTGCTTCGAGAGGTACTACAGAAAGAAATAAGTCGAATGCATGTGGAGTACGTCGTTCCGATAGATTAAGATAAACAATTTGTGAAATGTGATTCGGTCCGATTGAAGTTCATGTGTCGATTATTAGGCAAGCAAAGTGGTTGTTGAGTAAGTATGGCCGTATATCGTTGATTAAGATTGTTGAAAGCTAATAGTAGATCATGAGGAGTCAAATATTTAAAAATAAGATGAAAAAGTTCTACGAATAAATGTTCAAACAATATTAGTTATTCATTCATATGTAATGTAAAAGAACTGTATCTAATACGACTATGTCATCAGGAATAGATAAAATCGTTCAAATCATTCGAAAGAAAGAGAAAGAGAAATGAATATGCCGTTGGGTGTTGATTAGCAGAACAGTGATACCCACACCTACACTCATTCAATTACATCCTTATGGTTGTCTATAGACAACGATTGAAGATGACCAAATAACTCGAAATCTATTATGTCAATATTTTAAATAATCTCAAGAAATGTTCGGTATTATTTCATCTGTAATCACTGAATATAATAAATGCATTTTTAGTGTTCTTCGGAGTCTATCAATCAAATTGAAAACGACTTATTCAATCGAAAAATTTAGTCAAACTCATTATTGATTTGCTGTTTATACTGATGTTTATATGAAACAGTACAATTATGAAAATATTGTATTTATTGGTGACGCAGCACATCGAATGAATCCTTAATTAGATCAAGATGTTAATATGGTATTTTTGGATAGTTATTTTTGGACAAAGTTTTCATCGAAAATAGCAATAATATTAAATTAGCTTTGGAAAATTATACGAAATTACGAAGAAAACATTTGAGATTCTATAGTCAAGCAAGTAAATTTTTGACACCATTGTATCAAAATGATCGAGTATTATATGAACGATTTCGAGATTTGCTTTTTACTGTTTCGTAGTCAATGAAATTTAAAAAAAAAATATCAAGTCAAACTTTATGTAGAAAAAAGAACTAGTTGGATAAGAAATCAAGGAATTGAATATTAAAGATAAATGATTTTACCAATATATAAGTCCATCTGTTCGATTTTTGCAATTATGAACATGACCTATATCAACTCAGCAATACAAGTTTTCTAGTATAAACCTAACTTTGTAATCTCTTGATACATTTTTTACACCCACGACGAACGAGTATGTCGCAAATACTGAAAAAGCCACTTGCAATTCGTTGAAAACATCTGTTCAAAACAAAGAACTGTTTTTACAATTTTTTTGATTCCAATCTATTTTCAAAACACAATCACTGATAAAAATATTGTTCAAATATTTTGACGTGTGTAGCTAAAACGATGGTAAGTACAAGAGCTTGTTTAGTGTTGCATCTAAAATAAACATATGAAATTATTCTATTCAATCTTATCTGACGACATCCTGCTTCTGAGAAAGCCTTGTTATTCTTGTATCTTTTGTCTCTAGTCCACATGGAAAGTTTTTAGCACGAGTCTTAAATACAATTACATAAAGTATCACTAAATTCTGCATGCAATCCATATTGTTCTACTTTGGTATCAAATGGTGGTTCTATGGACATAACCCATTTCAGTATTTGATCATTGCTTTTAATACAAAATTCATCTCGTAATGGTTGTCTCGGATGACGATAATATATTGTATCAAAATTCTGATGCCATGCATCTGTATTTGACACATTTGCTAATTCATCATTTTCTATTTCAAGTACACGACCCATACGAATCTCAGCACATATGACCGCACCATCTCGTCTTGCTTTAAACTGTGTATGAAAACTAGAGCGAGCAAAATAAATACCAAAACCTAACATTTGTCGTCCAGCTCTGCTTATACGAAAATCCGTGTAAGCAATACTAACAGCTGCTTGAGCATCTGTGCGATGAAAACCAATGTATGTAGTCGTCAATGGATCTTTGTTTGGAACATCAGACCAACGTGGTGTGGGTGTATGTGTATTATAATGAAATATCATTATGTGTTCCAATGTTCGATTGAAACAAAATTGTTGTAATTCACATGGTTCATTCCATAATTGAATTTCATTTCGATATGCACCCATTAAATGATATGGGATAAAGCGTCGATGTTTCTCTAAATAACGACGACGAAATGAATTTTGATCACATGATGGAATATAATGCCACCAAACACGATAATGGTAATAGTCCAATAATAAAGTCAGTAGTGATGATGGTAATGTAATGCCACAAATCCATGATAGTTTTTGTGTTCGACTTAAAAACTCATGACTCGTATGTGTTGATGCTGTTGCATATAAAATAATCGCTACGAGCCGTAAAGCAATACTAATAGTGATAAATAGAAAACGTACAAGAAAACGCCATTTGGGTCGTGCTATATAGCATGGACAATTACAATTGAATAGAAGAAAACGTTGAATGGGTCTATTGGTTATTAGATGTCGTAAATGAAAATTCGAACGTGGTCGATGATGATGTGAACAAAATAGTCGTAAAATTCGATAGCCGAACCAAAGAAAAATGAAAGTAATAAACAAACCCATCATGCATGGAACTAACGAGCTAATACAATCGATAATAAAACCAGCAACAATCTGAGAAACTTTTCGACTTTCTGGTAATGTTGTTCTTGTTGTTAAACTGGTTCGATTTTCTAATAGATTTTTTCCATAGTTATAAGAATCATTGTTCATAATTTTAAAAAATATTTCAAGTCTAATAAAACCACATATAACTTCGTAAATCGTAAGAATCCCATAAAATATGGGTAATGATTTGTAAAACCACCGGCACATTATTTATGTTTTTCCCGTTTTTTTTTGCTGTAACATTTAAATTCTCACTGTCTTTCTCATAACAGGAACAGAAAAATGACAATTTGATTATTGTATTTTTTCCAACTTAATCTGAAGACTAGAAAAATTTTGGTTATATATGCGAGTCTTAAATGAAATTAAGTCGTTTTTATTACATTTTTATATTCTTGAGAGTAAACATCTTAAATTTTTTTAGAGACCTTGAGATATATTTAGTACTAATTCAACTTGAAAGATCGAAGTTTTAACGAAAGCATTGATGTAATAAAAACCAGTGATATTGTATTAAAACGATTGTAAAGACTCAATAAAAACTGTGCTGTTCTGATGAAATGACACAAACAATGACTTGATTTGAAACACGTGTTCTCTTACTATTGACTTTATATCAACGACAATGGATTGTCTACTTTATTACTCTTTTATTTGGAGTAGATCGAAAAATTTCAAAAAAAAGTCAATATTTGATGACTCTCAACATTAAGACTTGTCTATCTCAATCGTTGCTTATGCTATCTGAGTTTCTGATGCCGATCGAAGAATATCTCGCAGAAAAGTATTGAGAAGACGAAATCAAATGACAGAAAAAAAGCAATTTGACGTGCATGCATCCATGTTGTCGGACACTCGGAATCGACAGACAACAAAGCAACAAGTTGAGTTTTGTAGAATTCTTTCAAGAATGAAACATGACTGACTAAAAGAAGTTCTCATCGTACAGCAACCTGAGTAAAAAATCATTCAACTAAATCTCTTGGACAGAGATCAAAATAGCGCTTACTCACTCTAATGAACACTTCTCAGAAAGTCGATTTTCTTGTATACAGTGTACATGAATGTCTGCTTCTATTTGCCTAGAAAATGTTAGATAAGAGAATGGTGCACTTTATTGTTTATCAATAGATTTTTTCCAACTTCCAAAAACAACCGTCCCGTGATGTTTACGACACTTTCCGATAACTAAAGTCATAAATGTCAGTCGAAAATTTCTTCATCATAGCAGTTGTTTTGTATCGCATTTCTACTATGAAGCTATTCAAATGAATATGTCTACCAGTAGGAGATATTCTATCACTAGCAATAATAGTGTAAATACCAGACGTGCAGAATCTGTTGGTAAAATAAAAAAATTCTCCGAACGGCAAAATTTCGGCGAAAAATTTCCTCCACTAAAAAACTCAATTAAAAAACGAGTTTTCTTGTTTTAATTTTTTATTCAAAAGAAAAACAACTACCACTATTTAACACATTGCAAATATACATTAAGAAAAAAAGCTACTATTCAATATCGTTTAGTGCAGATTTTCTTGTTACTTGTGCTTTTCGTAAGCGATCTAAACTCACTGAACCAGAAGAAACAGATTTCAATCTATCGTGTATTCCTGATTTGGTGGAACTAGGGTTACTCGAATGGAACCGAACTCGAATCAATTTTTACAAGTAAGTCCAAACTGAACTAAACTGAACTCGAACCGACGAATAATGGTTTGATTCAGTCACTGATGACCATACATTAGTCATCCTAGTGGTATTGTACGCATACGCACATGCAACAGCAACTGTGTATAGCAACGGAGGAAAAGACGGCAAGTAGTGACATTTCATTAGGAAAAAGTATAGAAAAAAAAAGAGGTGAACTCAAATAGTGTGTGCTGTTTCATGAATAGGCACAAAAAGACAGGGGTGAAAGAAGTGGCAAGATACATGAGGGTGTGGGTGTGGGTGTAGGGATGTGGGTATATTGGTGTGAGTGTGGGTGGGGATGTGAGTGTATGTCGAGTGTGGGTGTGGGTAAGAGTATGGATGTTGACATTGTCTTCTCTAACACCCATACCCACAGCCACCCATAGCCTCAAGATAATGAGAAGTGTTATTCAGCAAAATATTGGGAGATAATAATTAGTGTTCTGTCTTTTTTCATAAGATAACAGATAACCTGATTTTTGTTCGTAATTATCAATCTGTGATTGAATATGCATTCACTTCTCCTGTTTTTTGATGGTTTGTTCTTATTTTTTTTTCTGATGATTTCTGATTCAGAGAACAAACCGAATTATTCGTTTTATTCGATTCAATTCCAGTCTCTGATGTGCAACTGATGTATTTCATAAGAGCTAAAAGATATGTTTTTTTTTAATGAAATATTATGCAAAAAATTAAAGTAAATCTAATGAAACGTCTCTATCTGTAAAGATGTGGAGTCAGAAACCTCAAATTAAGTTTACATTGACATGAATATCCGGTTTGAGTTCTAGAAGAGATATTTGATACCTGCTTGAAGTGACATAACAATTCTTAATAAATGTCGATATGATCAAAACATTGATATCGTTTTAAAATTCGACATTATCTGAATCTGTTGGATAGTTCTCGAATATCAAAGCAGAGTTTGGCTTTGTGTCCATGGCTAATCGATATAATAGAATATCTTACAATTATTTCAAAAGAAAAATTCTTTTAAATCGATCTGAATGATTATATTTAAAAAAATGTTTTTCTCGATTTATTTTTCCGGTGATCACAATAAATAAACAAATTTTAGAAAAATTTGTATTTAATAGAAAAAAGTCAGTTATTGCATGGGTAACACAGCAGGAAGCATACTAATTGATGAACTACGAGCCTCCTATATTGAAATCGAATAAAAATCATTTTATTTCAATAAAGTGACTTACTTGACGAATTTGTTTGATTTCTATAAACAAATCAAAATATATATTTTTATGAAAAACATCTGAACATTTTATTTATAGTTAAACATGATTTCAACGATATAAAAGAGAGATTAGTTTTATTTTTATTCAGAAAATGAATTTTAACTTAAATTATGTTGAAATTTAATCATTCTTACCTGCTTCACTGAGAGTATAACCAGATTCGGTCGTTGAAATATCTACTACAAAAGAAAAAGTTTTATTGATAAAATAATGAAAATGAGTCAGACCATTATCAATAAGAAAATTTGAATCTGTTCGTTTTTTGGAACCATGTTTATTATTAATTTTTAAACTATGTTTCTTTTTTGAAAACTCGCTTCCCATTATTTTTAAGAATTTGACGCAATTCGTATCTATATAAGTGTCTTTTTTTACCTTGATATTCATATGAAGTATCAACAAAGATTATTTATACTTGAAGAATAAATGTGTAGGTGATGTTTATTTTCGTATTTCGCTTTAAATAAACCTCCACATATAGTTTAAATAGATTTGCATCATACAATTTACGAATATAGATTTATTCAACTGGTAACAAATAATATCAAACTTCGAAATTTCGAATCATTGAGTAATGAATCATTTAATGTCAATAAATATTACAAATTTTTGTCATCATTTTTAATTATAAATGAATGAGTCTTAGATGAGTAAAATCATTAGAATATATTTTATGTCGTCGAAAGAAAATCGAAGAATTTTCCATTACATTCAATTGAATACAAATATTTATTTTACATTAGTTATTCTCTTATTAGTAAATAAACAAAAATAAATTTTGTATTATTTCATTTTAATAATTTCATCAATATAAAAATGAAATTTAATTTAGAGATTTTCAAGTTTATTATCGATATATAGTAAGTGAGGCGAGAATGAATAAGTAGAAATACTAATGAAATTTATTTCAATGGTATTCATTGTAATCATCACTAGAACTTAATCAGTTAATAATGTTCTTTTCTACATTACCAAAAATAAGAGCCATACACTCATTCACCTAGTCATTTTTCTCGTTCGAAAAAGTGAGTATAAAACTGCTACGATATACATTCTATTCTAAATGTTCACTGAAGAAAAAAAAAAATATATATATATAATGATTCAAGCTTTCTCCACTTTTTCAAAGAGCATCATCAGGAATGAGGGTGTGGCTCAGAAGAAGAATTACACAAACACCCACATCCCACATCCCACACGCACACATCCACATCCCTCAATTTCTGCGTTCGGAGAGGTATATATTGTAAAGCTGTAATAGTTTTTGCCCAATGATGAAAGCTTGGAAACTTTACTACGAGTGGTTTGGGTGTGGGGTGGGTGGATGTGGCTGTGAATGTTGTTTTAGTGAGGGCTAACACCCACACCCACCAATCCACACCCTCTATAATCTTTGATGATTCCTGGTTATGCCTTAGCCCTTTGAATGCGAGTTTCTTTTGATAGAGTAAAAATTTGTATTATATAGAAATAATTCCAGACTCCAAGGGTTAACGATCTCCCTTCTTTGTGTAAGTGATTATTCATGCACAGTTCTCTTAAAGGCTACTAAAATCTTTGAATTTTCAAGTAGTGCAAATGTAAATGGCACCAAAGATGCACGCGTTTTGCAGAAGCTGTGAGTGTTAGTACGTATCTGAAACTACAGAAGACCTATATTCACTCTATTTTTCTTGGAAACAACAAACCATGAAAATAAACATAAAGGGTGTGAATGTCAGTGTACAGTTTTGGTATGTGTATGGGCAGGTATAGTCCGCAGATTTACCCACAGTCATCCACCCACACCTACATGCACAGCCATCCGCACCCTCGCGCTCAGCATCCATTACCTTTATCAACGTATTGTTTTATCTAATATTTTTTTGTATTGTGAACAAACTGAAACAAAAAAGAAATCATCCGGAGAATATGTGCGCTCATCTGAAGTACTGATGACAGATCCAATGACCTAGTCATTCAATAATGGTATATTCAATCAGCTTTGTTGTATATCTCCACATATCGTTTGCTTATACGACGACATTGGAGATTAGTAAAAGTAGGATATCTCTGAGCGAGTGAAATTTTTATTTGGTCCATTCTTGACATGAAAAGTCTTGCTTCTGAATGCCAATATGGTCTACATGGGCTCATCCATGATTTCTCTTTCTCTGCGGTTTGGCATGGAATACTACAACCACAGAAACAATTAATTGGTAACCGTTCTGCAATCGTTCTCAACAATTTCACAACACCAATAGCTGAATCCGTATTCATCGAACTACGTTTTATTGTTAAATGAATGAAGATTGATTTCAGTTTTGGCATGAGTGGCAAGAGCAATTCGAATATTCTGCAATTGTCTAGAAAGTGTACAGATCCATTCCAATCCGGCAATGAAATATGGAAATGTTTGAGTTGATCATGGTTACGAGACACGATTTCTAAATTATCGTTTACGTTCCACACAAGAAAACGGTTCACGCGAAGAGTAACTAAATTAGGTAAACTAATGAGAATATTCATAGCCATGTTGAGGTTTTCCAAAATGTCTAGTGTCAGTAATTGAAGATTTTCGCATCGAAATGACGAAGAAATGGAGTTCTAAAAATGAAAACAATGATGATCAGAGCAGATAACTTATCGTCAAGTCGATGGATCAAATCGAAATTTAAGTTTCTTTCTATATGAGAAGCTTTTTTTTTTGAAATTTTTGAATTTCTTAGTGCAAAAGTGATTTCTACTTTATAAGGTATCAATCTGTTCAAAAGAGAAAAATCACAAATGAATATCTTCGCGATAGAAACTAACTTCCGATCGAATTAGTAACACATCATCCAATTGCTCAATATTACTAACTTCGTATAGTTCTGAAGTAATGAATAGGAATTGTTTTGTACTTGTCTATTGTTATTTCAGCAAATTTTGAGATGCATCAATATTTCATCAGTAGCATGTCTATTTGGAGGCTTGGATTTCTGAACATGTAGTTTAATTTATTGATTTAACATCGCTTTCAATGTTGTACATGCGTTTTGGTCAAATTTGCTCAATCAATGTGATAAAACAAATGTTGAATAATCTTTTAGAGTATACTGACAAAGTAGTAAAGTAAAAAACAACGTCAACAGTATTCCTCATATATGCTAGAAGAGAGGTGAAGACTCATAGTTTAGGCTGTTTCTTTTTTCTCATCGTAATATAATCATGGCACTAGTCAACTAACTGAGTTCGGAACAAAAATTAAACTGTTACATTTTCGATTAATAACGGAGTCGCCTTCTATTCCTTTTTGTTAAGCCTTACTTTTCATCATTACAAAGTTTGTTTTTCTTAAGATTTCGATCATTTCAAAAGATAATATTTATTGATATTACTTGTTTATTGTGCCATTTGTATAAATGACATTGACGGAGATGAGGAAATACTCCAGCTATGATACTTCTAGAAATGTATCCATCATCGTCCGATTTTATAAAGGTTAGTTGTTTCAGTTGATGGAAATGGTCTGTTGTTGATATCAATGTTCTCAATTGGTATTGTTGTTCTCTTGATGGTCTCAATAGTGTTAGCTTATGAAGATCGATCAAATGTGATAAATTCAGCCAGCGACATTGCACTGCTGCTCTCAATGTTTTAACGATACCTCGCCTGCCATACGTGATAATATATCGTGTGTAATCGGGGGCAAGTTTGTTGGAATCGATATTAATATGCCGAAATAGACGGTAGTCACACAGAAGAGCATCGAAGCGAGCATTGAGATGCCACAAAGCATGAGTTAAATCGAATGGATGAAGTTTTAGACATATCATTAGTAAAATTTCATCCGGAAGGCACTCGAATACGGTTACCATTTTTACTCCGACAGAATTTCTGAATGGAACAAAAAAGACTTCAACCATGTGCGTGTAAAAGAATTGCGAAAAGTTGTGTAATTACATACAACATTGCATACATCATATTAGAAGTATTTGTTATAAGTGTTAACTTGTTTTCTTGACTACAACGAGAGTCATAAGAAATAAAATAAGTTTGTTGTATATATATATATATATATATGCTTGCACGTGTACAGGATGTGGTTGGAGGGTGTGGGTGTTGATATAAGAAAGAAACACAGCCACACTCAGCAAAAATATGTCTACGTATACTTATTTCAATTTTGAAGTTCCAAAATAATAAGCAAATACATCTATTCCTTTATTACTGCTTGCATTGTCTGACATTGAACAACTTGTTATTCATAGGGCACATGCTATTTATAATAGGTAAAAAATGATAAAGCACATCTTAAACTGAATTGTATAAATTTCATTTTTATTGATGGTAGAACTTAACATCATCATAAAAGTGAAATTCTATTTCATGATCACTTTGAAAGAACGATTTCAGAATAATCTTTGTCATTACCAAGTACGACAAATAAATCTACACTATTTTACTCCTAATCTACTTAATATACGTTGTTCGAGTAAAATCTTATTAGTGCAACATCCTTAATGTTGAAATGTGAAACTCACATATTTTTTTAAATCTCCTTATATTAATAAAACATGTAAAATGAAAATCTCTCACAGATTAGATATAGTTGTTCTTCAAGATAACAGATCGTCAGAAAAGTAACTGGATTTACAAATCTATTCTAGTTATTCAAATTTCGAGGAAGACTTTGGAATATTGTACAATTGTCTAGGCTGTGTTGTTGATGTTGTTCAGTAGTTTTCCTGTTGTTAATATCCTTTATGAGAAATGTGGATGTGTTGGATTCTGTAAAGCTCAGACTTAAAGGTGTAGGTGTGAATAATAGAAAGACCAACATCCATAATGGTACATATGACATTCTATTGGATCCAATAATAACCAACTATTTTATAAGTGTTACGAATATAAAATAACTTTCCTGTAAAATGACAAGCCTTTGTTTTAATCAGAAAAAGATTTCTCCACACTAAAAGCAATATGTTGGTAACAACAGAACAAGCAAGAAATTGCTGTCATCAATGAATTGGATGTTCAAAATGATGATGCATCTTGACAAGGGCTGAATCTTATGTGTGTTCCTCTATTTCAAAAAATCAAAACAGCACCTATTGTATCTTTGAGAACTCGAAAACTTCTTTCGAATGATTAATGGGCGTGGGGTGGGATGTAGATGTTGTCGAAACAAATCAACATTGCCTAGCACAACATAAATGCTTTCTGCAGACAACACATATGTAGTGGTAGCAGAAGAGCAAAAAACCACTCTAAAATGTTATTGTAATGGTGAACAATATTCTGCGCTGTTCTGTTGAAGAGTATAGCTGAGAAAAATCGGGAAAAGTAGTATATTCCAAAAGATGAGAGTACAAAAAATTGGAACATGAAACTACTACTTCACAATCTCTAAACTAATTGATTTTTCACAATAAAACAGCTTGATGGTGGGTATGTGTGGCTGTGGATGGGATATGAGTATGAGTAGGGCGTGAATGTGGATCTCCTCTTCATTCACAAGTACACTCACACTCACACCCTCAGAGTTTCTTTATAATGATAAAGATGTTCCCAAACAAAAGAAGATAAAATTGATTGACTAATGAAGAAGGGTGTGGGTGTGGGTGTAGTTCTTCTCTTTACTCACACCTATAGCTACACACGCAATGTTCCATCGAAAAATATTTAACCAGATCGAAATCCGGCCTGTGAGAGTTTATTCAAATTCACTCACCCTCATACCCTTGTTTTAAAATTAAACTTACTCAATGGTAAAAAAGAGATGTAAAAACCGGCCATTCATTATAGAACACCCATGACAAATTGTTGCAATTTTTTATTGAATCTTTTTTCAGCCCTTTTATCAGAAAAAATAATGAACAATAAACATAGAGCTTCATAGACTCAAGTAAAACGTCAAAGCTGTCAGTGAAAACCTGTCAAAATGTAATAAATATCTTAATAAAATCAAACTCCCAACAGCACATTCAGTAATGACAACAATTCAAACGTGTTATTAGTTATTATAGAGGAAAATGATGAATACGAAGAAATAATAAAAAGAACTTACAGCACGTACGGAGATGTGGTATTCTATGAAGACGATAAATATTAAAGTTATTTATTGCTAGATAAAAATGATCTTTTATTCATTTTTTTTTACAACTGAATTAAAGAATGACAATGAAATTAGAATCTTTATCCAATGAGCTGTTGTTCGATATATTCGATTATATGAGTATTGGTCAAATTTTACGATCATTTCAATCTCTTAACCTTCGCTTTAATCAACTTATTTTTCTCTATCTACGAACAACTCGCCATGTTGATCTACGTTTTATGACTTTAACCGATTTCAACATTTTCTATCGATTCCATCTATCAGAGATTGCCAATCAAGTTATTTCTTTGACTGTTTCAAATGACAAGGAAACACCATTACAAATTCAATATTTTTCACTTTATGATGATCTTCGCCGATTTATTAATTTACAATCACTTTCATTACATCATATTCATTCAAAACAGATTATGAATCAAATAGCATTGGCATTCGATTATCTACCTCAACTCATTGACATGAGTTTGATTGACTGTTGCATTTTATCAAATGAGACTCATAACTATACTGTAATTGACAAAATATGGAATATACCAAAGTTGATACGGTGCAATCTGAGTAGTATAATATCATGCAAAACTCAATTTTTCTGGCCATCCACAATCTCTGCATCTCTTAAATATGTATCTATTCAGAATTTCTCTCTTAGTAGATGTTCATTATCTAATCTATTTCAATGCACACCTCATCTTCGATATTTCTATATTGATTCATATTTTGATGTAGTATACACTGCTATGCTGCTTGTTCCATCTTTAGTTAAGTTTGAGCTAAATGAAGGACACACATCAAATAGGGTTTTATCAATTGGAACAGATGAACTAGTAATTCTTTTACAAAAGATGCCTAATTTATGTCATTTATCAATCGAATCCTTATCGATGTTTATGGATGGGTATCAATGGGAAAATGTCATTACAAACCATTTGCCCAAGCTGAAAATATTTCGATGTAAAATGGCAAATTATTCGAATAAATTAGATGAAATAGAGCTGCGAGTGAATAATCTCTTGTGCTCATTTCAAAGTCATTTTTGGCTTGAACATTACCGATGTTTTATTCGATGTTATTGGAAGTCAGTTAATTCACGCACATATGACATTTTATATTATACATTACCTTATACTTTCGCACATTCGATTAATATGACTGATTATCTGTGGTGTAAATCGACCAGTCCGTATGAGAATGATTATTGGCCATTTGATACTAAGCACAAATTACTATACAATTTCACTTGTGACGTAAATGTTACTTCGTTTAGAGAATATCCAAGTCCTCTAGAATTAGATAGAAAGCCAACAACTTCTTTCCAACGATCAATCACTTGTTGTGAAAGAATTAGCAGAATGTTTCGATCGATTTCTAATGCAATGGAATCAGTTTCACTTTCGGACAGTGAGATTCAAAAAGATCTGATGATGAGATTTTTTACTTCTTTGAATAGTACATGTGTTATTCCGATATTTAGCAACATCAGTGAACTTTCTGTTACACTTCCACTCGATAAATACTTTTGGTACTTAGTTCCAAAACTTAATCAATTGTTCTCACTTAATGTTGTCTTGTGTCTTGATCACGTTAATCAATCTCACCTGTACACTTTGCTTGATAAGTCCCCTAATTTATATTCATTGAGCATTGTCTATTCTACGACGTCACCTTCAAAATTCTTTCTAGCAGAGATTCGACATGCATCGATCCGTAGACTTAGTTTGCTACAATATGACTCATTGGGTCGATATATATTTTATAACATGAAACAATGTGTTGAATTGAGTCGTTCACTATTAGGTAAGCTATGTGAAATACTTACTATTCGAGTCAGCAATAAAGAATGTATAGTCTATCTTGTTAACGAATTAATCAATCTTCGATCGTTAACAGTTCGATGTGATGATGACTGTATAAATAGATGGTCATCATCCAGAACATCTTCAAATGTCATTATGTGGTTAAAGTTTTCTCTACCGTCTACAATTCATATAGGAAGATGTGGTTGTTGTAAGGAAAATATTCAGTTATGGATACGTTAACTAGAATATTATTCGTCTTTTGCGAAAACACCTTGACCAAACATGTTTCTATTTAAAGTTCAGCAACAATAAATCCAAAAAATATTCTTAGAACTAATAATATTTTTATTTGTAACAATCGCTTTCATCCGATTAATCAAGTATCGTAGTCGAATTATTATGTTCATATGCAATGACTTGTTACAAGACTTAATCTTGCATTACTATTTCTACTTATGTATGTGTCATCTATGTCTTTTTAATAAAGCTCGCACCATTCTCGAATCTATTCTAACTTGGAACGAAAAAGATCTCTATAAAATACTATGTATCATAATTTATTGCGATATGAGGATATGATTTAATTGTGATGGACGTAGACGGCTGTGAGTGTGAATATGAAAATTCATTTGAATAAGACACACCAACATCCCCACTAACGTCCATACCCACACTTACATCAGAAGAAAGTAGAAGCATGGATTTTTTTTCTGTGAAGAGAAATGCATACAGTTATTCTTGATTCTTCAAAGAACTTTTATGCAAAATGAAACGAGAAAAGCATATTTTGAAACAAGTCTGATAGATTCAATTCAAAACACTTCATAATCATTTTAAGTTTCTCTTCGATTTGAATAGTGTACAGTAAAAGTGGAATCCATCATTTGTTTTGTTTGTGTCCAAAATTGTGCTGCGAAAGCAAGAAAATAGAGAAAAGGTGTTCCAGCAGCAATATATTCAGGAATACTTGCAAATGTAATTCTCTAAATAATAGAACAGGCAAATATGATGATCGTGCATCCAAGAAACCACAATGGAAAAATGACTTTCGAATGTTCGGAAGCTTTTGATCGATAAATAAAAAGATAAATTATAAGTATTGTATGAAGAATACAATAGATTGAAATGGAATCAAATGTACCAATAGCATCCATATCGTGTATATTTTCACGATCATTAAGACTTACTATGGCCATAATTAGAACAAATATACCAGAGACAAGTGTAATGATATAAATAAAAAAATATTATAGCCCGATGAATAATTGTTTGAGATTGGAGTAGAAATTGAAGTCTACCAATAAATATGATTAAAAGTTGCGGAATCATAATTATAAAACCGGACATAAAATAATAATGTGCTTGACAAATTCCAAGTTCGGATATTTAAGGTAAGTTTTGGTCTGGTGGAATATTGTTCGGTATTTGACTACATATAATTAAGGTTAAAACAAATGTTAAAACTGAAGTAAATGATAAGATAAGTAATATTCGAAACCACATTAGAGTACCGACATTCCTCATATCGCATAAAATACTGAGAAAATAAAAGAATTTGAATGAAAAACAAGAATTCAAAGGTTACATTACAAAGAAATACAACAACATTAATTATATTCATCTTTCCTTATTGAAATGTTTGATGCAGAAATGAGAAAAGAAAAACACTTGTGGCTGATACATCATTTCTATTGGCATAAAGATATTGAGGACCAACAGCACTGGAATTGGATACTAACGGCTTTTTTTTACAATTGATAGAGTATAGGTGTGGGTGTGATTTTCTCGTAATTAGCACTCACCCATCCACATCCACACAATTACACTCAAGAACATTAATAGTTCTCATCTGAATAACTGCCACAAAAAATAAACAATTCATCAAATAGAGTTACTCGAGTGTCACGGTGCGATCCATGATACGGCCATTAGTGCAAACGTTACAGATATCGGTAGAGTTTAGATTTTATATACAGGATACGGTTCTGATGTAGGTTCGATTCATCTTTTGCTCTTATCTCAACTTACTAGAGTACAGCTGAGATTATAGACGAGTTGGGACTAGTTGCATTTTCTCCTGCTTTTAGCAGATATCTTGAAGGTGCGGGTTCAATATTCTCGTTAAGTTTCATCCTCAACAGACTTTTTATTTTCTCTGGTATAGGGAGAACACAAAAAAAATCATTCTCTGCGATTAAAAAGCGATTCAGCATTATTGAAGACACACTGGCCGAGTTCGATATAACTTATACAATCGAGATTCTTTTTGACCTCAATGTCTTGATATGGATTTCGAATGTGATAAGCAAATATGACTTGATGATTCAACTTCAAATCGAGAGGGTGATTCATTAGAAAACTCTGTGTGACGGCTTGATCAAGTGAGGAGGAGAGAAACGTTCTCATCAGAATAAATTTACTTTCTTCATGTTAGTCTAATTCTAAGTTTTTCATGTTCGTATCACAATAGGTTGTCTCAATACAATGACGATACTGTTGTAGTTGCAGATGATGACTCAGAATGGCAACGAAAATGTATTGACTAAAGCCCTTTTAAAGATCATTATCATTATTAATTGTGGTGTTCATTGCGAAGCTTATCTTAAACCGAAAATCGAATCCACCATTGGCTAAATCTTGATTAAGTTTGGTATACTTTAGTTAGCCGTTGCTCTAAATAAGTGTGATTCCTGTAAGCGATTCGGTAGGCACGTTTATATGTATCGAACCATTCGATTGATTCTTGAATACAATCTTTATATTCGTTGATGGTAACGGTCTTGTCTATTGTTGGCATTTTATGAAACAAAAACTTTAAGTGAGCAGGACCTTCATCTTTAGTAGCGCAACCCCATTGATTTTTGATCGATTGATTAATATTTTCATGTGCCAATAAAAGTTCTAACACATTCGTATGCCCACACAATGCAGCAAACGATCTGTATCATTATTCTTTCAAGCCATATATAACGAGCTCATTAATAACATCGTTATCTGGGATTCTTAAAAAGACATATTTTCATTCATTTTTTGTGTGACATTTTTATATAGTAGTTGTTTAAAAAACTGACACTTAATCAATTTGTCTCTAGATATTGAGAAAAAGACGGATTGGGATCGAAGGATTTTGCTATCGTGGGTGGCTAGGAAAATTTTATGTTGACAGACATTTGAACCAGTAGAATGAAGAAAGTTGGCAAAATTGACACCGTCGGTGTGGATGAAAGAGAAGAACATTGATATTTATATGAATAAAGTAATCAGAAGTAGGAATCAGCTCTCTAACACGTTGCATGCTTTTTGTCAAGAATCGAAGAGAAAAAGAAAAAGGCAACAGTTAGCTGTACTCATGAAGGAACAATTGATTCACTTTCACAGTTTTGAAAAGATACCGACGCGAGTAAGTGTGGGTGTGAACGCGAGTGATGGGAATGACGTCTCTTTCGTATCCATACTCACTCTCATAGTTGCACAATTTTTTTTATTATATACCCTCCAATATACTACAGACCAGGTAGCTTTTTTGTGGCCTGTTGGCAGCTGTAATATGCAGTTTCATGCTAAATCATATTTGCTATTGTATATATGAAAAATGTCTTCATTTATAGATTAATATGAAGAAAATTAGTTTTTTTATGCTATAAAAAAAATTGAATTCGTGATTAAAATAATTTGTTAAATAGTTTTACATTTTCATTGTTCATGGTAATTATAATGATGACCACACATGCAGTTACGATAAGCTGTCTGATCCGATTTATTATCTTGCAGAGGAAGTGTGCCTAACGTTGCACTGGCTGTTGATCCATCCTTACCCGGTACATTCACTGAGAAATTGCAGCCAGAAGTAGCTTTTTGAACAGCCGATACGGGATTCCAAACAAACGATTTGCAACCACATTTGCGACACGGCATAATTGTTGGTAGAGAAATGAGAATATCGTGAGACTCATATACTCTGATATATACTTGTCAAGTATTGTTGTCACTGATAAGACTTGACTCATGTATGTTGAGAAAAATGAGTAACTACCTCTTACTCATCATTCCCACAGTGGTAAGTTGGTAGTTTTTTAATGTTTTCTCGCTCACACTTTCAAATATTTGCTTATATGACAAGAATCGATATTATTTTACGATATCCTTGATTACACATGATTAGAAAAAGAAAATACTACCCATTTTATTGTTTGTCTGGTCTTTAAACAATCTAAAAAGGTGGAATTTTTCAGGTCAACAAATTTCTGTGGCTCACAAACATGGGTATGCTTTTTTTCTGTCTTATGACTATTGACTTGCAGATTATTCTGTAAATTTAATTTATTCATCATAAATTTTCATAAATCTTCCATAAACAAGATTGTATTTTTCAGATCTTTCTACTGAAATATTAAACTATTTCTATGTTATATGAAAGAAAGAGACAGTTGTTATTATGTTGAAAAGATTTACCTTATATACATCGTTTTATGTAAATTCTATGACAGTTTTTGTATAAGATAGAACGATAATATAATACTAAGCAGATAGGGTGTGGATGTGATGGGTTGGGGTTGGGGGTATTGATGTGAGTTTTTTTCACGAAAATACCTAAACACACATGCACACCCACATCCACATCCACATAACCTTCAATCGGAACTTCAGATCTCCACTATTTCAGGATCTCCTCTCACCAAAATTTTACTGGGAATGACTGCACTGCTGGGCTTTTGAATGAAGGGTAGCGCGAAAGTAAATGTCGAAAAATGACTGAGATATGACCTTCATAAGGTAATGACAATGTGCTAGTAATATCTTCAGCAAATGTCAACCAATAGATGATGCGGTGGTGTTTGCAATCAGAGTTCAATGAGGCCGAAACGCATACGAAATATCAGTTCAAAATGAAGGAATATAATACTACTTCAAGGGTGATGGGGAATACCTACTTTCGTCCACGACTATATGTGCGTAGCAGTATCATATAAGATGATAAAAAATTATAAGAGTGCTATGATCTATCAAAAGCAAGCTATTCATCATCACTTATCAACTGCACGAATACATTCTAGGTTACTTGCTATCTATTATGATTTCTTTCACAGAAAGACTATTATCCTTTTCTCTCTACAACCAAGAACTAAATCAATAATCGGTCAGGTTGGTTTATACTGGCAGTTACCTGCAGGTCAGGACGAATTCCATGACAGGATGAATTTTAAAAAAACCAGCCTAGCCTGAGGTAGGTCAGGCTACGTCCAAATCAAGCGATCGGTTCAAAACAGGATGAAAAAAGTTGTTCGTTATCAGCTCTGTTCTCAATTATAGCTAACTATGCGTTTTTTGTACTCCTATTTCTCTCTTTGACATTCGCTCGAATTGAAAGAAGCAGTTTGTATATACTGAACATTTCAGACAAAGATGTAATTTTTTCGTTCATCTGTGAACAATTATACGACAAAATAAATCTCTTCAATACTAACAAAAATAAAAATCGATTGACTTGATCCTCCTGATTTGCTTGTCTTAGGTCAATATGTTGACCGCTGTGTTTCTCTGATTTTCACTGCTATCAGTACAATTCGATAGAATTTTCAATTTCTGGACCATAGGTATATCTCCGATGAAAAGCATGTCTTGTTGTTTTGACGAGCCTGTATAGAAATGCCAAATAATCTCATTTTATTCGAAAAAGAAAGAATTCATATTCATCAATATAAATTGAATTATGATTGATGCAGCGAGATAGACAATGAATCCTAATTAGGCCTTAATTTCTTCTTGAAATTTTGCTTCAACCCATTGACGAATGTTATCGAGTGTATTTCTTGCTTCAGGACAATACGAAAATAAAATTGGATACACGTGTACCATATGAAGTCCGACTTCCAATGTTACATCCACACCTGCATTTTGTGCTTTGGCTGCCACATGTCTCGAGTCATCTTCTAATAATTCTGCTGTGCCTACTGTGATATACATGGGAGGAAATCCTTCAAATGAGCCGAAAAGAGGACTGTGTACAGGACTATCCCGTGCTACTTGAGCATGATTCGAACCCAAAGCTCGTTCGACACTCCAGCTTAGGCTTTCTAAGCGAAGCATTACATCAGTTAGTCGATTACGTTCGTAACTCTCACCGGACAATGATAAATCAGTCCACGGAGATATAGTAATAACAGCACGAGGGATAGGTAAATGACGATCGAGGAGAGCTTGAACTGTTAATAAAGTAAGACCACCACCAGCTGAATCTCCCATAATTATAAGACGAGAAGAAGAGATACCATTACGAAGAAGAGCACGATAAAGTGCGAGTGCATCGTCGACAGCTGCTGGTAGTGGATGTTCCGGAACGAGACGATATTCCAAATGAAGCAAAGACATATTGAAAAGATGAGACAAATGGCACTCGAAGCCACTATAACCTGTAAAAGAAATTTTTTTTTTATTAAAGCACTAATTAGAAAATGCAAAAATAATCTATGGTGGAACAAAATGAGAAGTCTATCATATACATATTATTGCATGTTCATTTTTATGCATACATATGAGCACGCAGCATCAGTTTTTAATTGAAAAGAACAATTGGTAACATTCAATTCAATCTTCAAAGAATACTTGCTGTTTCGAAGCTTTTAAAATATTTCTTCTTGACTAATTCTCATAACAAGTTTTTTGGCAGTATATTGTCTTTCTAGAAAAATAAAAATTCTCTTCCACGTAAGATTCAGTCACACTGAGCGAAACGTTAACATCTAGATCTTATCTGCGTTGCTCAGCGACTATAGTAAGATTTCAGTTAAAAATAAATTTGTTATAGACTTTTGAAATTAAACCATCCAGCTGAGAATATCACATGGCTTACCGTTAATATCACCCCTTACATAGGCTCCACCGTGCAAGTAGATGACAATCTGATCTGTATTTCTTTGTTCTTTTCCAGTATGGTGATTGATCCAATACGCTTCTACCTTGTGTCCTTCATACTCGTACAGTTGTTTGTTGACCTGACAGTGAGAAGGTCTAGGAATCATGGTGTTGAGCGGAAAAGACGATCGTAATTTTCTGGCCATTTCTAATGGATCAGTCAGTAAATCAAGTTCAGATAGTGGTTTGAAACGAATTATATTCTCAAAAGCACGATAGTCTGCACTGAGCATTGGTCGAGCTCGATCAGGCACGAGAGAATGCTTGATTGAGAGTAAAGAATGAAAAAGACGCAAAAGAAGATACTTTGGATTTGTCGAACCATAGTACAGAGGAATAACGATAGCAAGAATCAAGACAAGTAGAGTCAGTTTCTTCATAAGCGAGAAACAATGTTTTGAAAACGTCATAGTTCTGCTGCACTCAAGAAATGAGATGTTTTCTTTCGAGATACTTTTAGGTAAGTTTGCGTCTTATGATCATTATAAACTACCGATTGTGCAGCGCACATGTTTTTCTTTTCTTATCCTTGTCTCTCAGCTTGTTATCACTTTTCGTACGACTTGTTTGAGAACCCTATCCCTCCTACAAAGAAAATAACAGAGTAAAGAAAGACTTTGAATATTAAACTTCTAAATGATAATTTTTTTGTCTATTTCATCTTGCTAATCTCGCATTGATTAACTAGTTTTTCTTAAGCTGATATTTTGGATAATCAACGTCATATTTAAGCGACTCATACGTCGTAGTAATTCTGCCGTTCTATATAATTGCACAGTATGCACGAAAAAGATGTAGTGTGGGTTGTCCATGTATGTGACGATGGAGAAAAGAACTACACCCATCGATACCATCTACCCACATCATCTACACCCTCAATGAAAAGTCAGAATTCTTCGATCAACATCAATATCAATTAATTGATTATCATGACAACAAACCGTAACAGCATATCTATAATTGTTTGTCGACACTATTATAGCATCAACACGTCTAATATGAGATGTATCACTCGTATCCTATTCATAATCATGTATACTTTCATTGGGATCATAGGGATTATTTTTTTTGACACCTTGTATGCGAGTATAAGGGTGTAGGCAATTTCTTCAGTCACACTCATACTCACACTCTTTTTTGTTGTTCAGCCAAGATATTTTTTGCACCAATGAAAGAAATAACTTTCAACTTTCAGAATATTGATTAGCTACCGAACAACTTCTCAAATGTTTAACCAAACAGATGACTTTTACGATAGAAAGAAGCAAGTCAGACAATAGCTCGAATGATGTACCAATGTCTGATGTCTATAGAAATACATGGCGTGTGCAAATGATTGTTTTTTGAAAAGATATTCACTTGTGTCAGATGTTCTAAGAATAGATTGTTGAATTTACCCTTAAAATAAGAACACTGTAATTACTTTGATTTTCTGGAGAAAGTCCATTTCCAACGTCATTGTTAGTTATATTCCAAGGATAGTTGTTTTCATTTTGCTCGGATTCTTATCGAGAGAAATAGAACAATTCTATTTTGTTCTTCTTAGTTTTGACTCCAAATCTCTTTGCGATATGATCTCAAAAAGTTTAACATGTGAATATTCTAAATAGAAATAATTTTCTTGGGCTAAAATCGAATTAAAGAAGATAAATGAATGTTGTCCAAGGCTTGCTTTAGATTTTAGAACATACTGACAATTGTGTTAAGACATTACATTGCAAAGTGAAATCAATTTATGAAGCTATTTCGTCTACTAATCGAAAATCATCGAAAATCGAAGACCGAAGATTCTCTTTTTTTCCAGATTTCAAATGGAAAGTCGAACACGTTTCAAATACTGTTCGATAGGACTTCTCAAGTTTTGTCAATATTTTTAAAGGCAACAATACGTTGTTCATGTTCTAACCAATTCGAGCTCAATGGTTAACCAGTTTGCAAAACTCTTTGTTCATAAATCTATTCTTTGATGTTATATCCAGTCTGTTAGACTGGTTACTCGAATCTGATTTTATTTTGGTATTGGGAAATATGAAATATTTGTCGAATATTCTGGTACCATAAATGAATATTCTTATATCATGAAGATATTGAAGAGTCATTGTTAAGTGGTTTGAGAAGAAGTTGCTAGAAATTTCAATAAAATTCATCATTTTATGTAAACACCGAAAGTTACTCAACTGTTTCACGTTATTTCTCTCTCAAAAGTGAAGATTGTAGAAGAAAAAATTAGAGACTTAAAGTTCGAACGCGATGAAATTTCAATTATGAAATATGGTGGATTAGAGAGAATGTCTTTTAATCGTTTTAGTTCTTCATTGAAAAACTGAATGTCTGCTTTAGTAAAATCTTTTTCTTTACAACATTATATCAGTTTCTCTGTCAATTTTTTCAATCCAGAATTTTGATCAATGACAAATGTGATGCAACACAAGAAGCGTTCATGGTAAACTATATTTACAACTGTTCACACATTCTCAATCAATTCGTATCTCGATTCATCGGTTTGTTTCATTAATTCATGTTTTTGTGACTTCAATTTTTGTTCTTCAGTTTCAAATTTAAACATATTACAGCGGTTGTCAATTTCACCTAATTGCTCGCTTAATTTATTCTGATGTTCATTGATGTGATCGGTACAACAAAATCATTAGAACATCCTTTACATTGTACGATGCATTTTTCATTCTCTCTTTTGCAAATAAAAGAATTCTTGCGCCATCAGAGTGATTATGTGGATGGGTGACGGACATTTCGTACCAAGTCATTCCGAACTCCGGACATGTGTCCGGGCGTTCGAAAATGACTTTTTGCCGTAACAAATATTCGACGGGAGTTCGTAATCCTTTTTAAGCAGGAAATTGTAATAAAAAATATAGGAAGATCGAAAAGGTGTTACTGGGAATTCGGAATGGAATGATCATTAATATATGCGGAGTAATGTTTAAGAATCGCGATGAAAAAGACGGGAGGTTTGTGATCCAATTTACCAGGAGATCGTAGCTGATTTATTCTGATATTCGCAACGATCATTAAGACTTTTCTTTGGTTTTTTTGTTTATAAAATCAAGAATGATTCATACAATACCTTCGTAATTATATAAACAACATCTACCTTTCCCTGTCTCTACGTATTACGCTATAATAACTGTACAAGATGTTTGTGACTTTTGTGCTTTAACCTATTCATAATGTTGATAATTGATAGCAATAATCTCTGGGAAAATGAAGTACTATATAATTAAAAGTCTCTACGTTCAAAAATTATTGACTAGACGAGCGAGGGTGCGAGGGTGACATCTTCTATTTACTCACCCTCACCCACGTTTACGCTCCACATTCTCACTCTCACTCTCACATCCTCATTCATCGTTTGTGTAATATCTTAGAATAAAAGCTAATAAATCATTTAACATATCTTAAAAAACAGCAAACATGAACACATTTTCGAAAACCCTGTTTTTATTGTTACGATCTTCCATCATTCTCATGCCAAACTCCGGTCAAAGTTCACAATTTTTTTCTCTAAAAATCAATATTCGTTGTTCGCTATGGTCTTCTGAACAACTTTCATTACGAACACCCTGTTCTTTTTTATTATTGATTGATTTTTGTCATTCCGAACTCTCGTCCACTTAATTCCGAACACCCTGTCTTTTTTCGTATGTCCGGAGATCGTAACGAACATATGGTACTAGAGATCGTAATGAACAGTTGGTGCGAAATGTCCCTTTCCCGTGTGGGTTTGGGTTTGAGTGCGGGTGTGGTTGTGTGAGTGTGAATGTGGGGTGTGGGCGTGGGTCTGAAGAAGAATCACACAAACACCCACATCCCACACCCACACCCACATCCCACACCCACACCCACACCCACATCCACACTCACACTCACACACACACACCCCACACCCACACCCACCCACCCACACACCCACCCACACCCACACCCACACCCACACACCCATATCCACACACCCACCCACACCCACACACCCACACCCACACCCACATCCGCACCCACCCACACCCACACACCCACATCCACACCCACACCCACACCCACACCCACACCCACGCCCACACTCTTCTTTTTAGCAACACCCACACCCACACCCACACCCTAGCTACTCACAACAATCAGAGCTTTTTTAGCATGGGATATGAATGTGAAGTGTATGCCTGTGAGTATACTTCTTTTGATTTCACGTTCGCTCACATCCTCGTATGCTTTTTATTGTTCGCTTAGGTAAATTTCATTTTCTCTCAATACAAAAAAAAACATTTTTTTCTTGTTTTTTTGCTGAGTGATTGCCACCAAATGTTTGCTTTGCAAATAAACAACAAAAGAAAAAATATTTCACTAAGGCAAACTCATTTGATTTTTTGGATTCATGATGACATGAGTTCTTATGTTGGAAATGTGTTTTATACTGTCATTTAAAAGTATGCAAAATTAAATCT